GCACCCGACGTGTTGGTCGGATCCTTGGTGACAACTGGAGTGACATTAGTGCCAGGAGTCGTTGATCCACCAGCGCCCGACGTGTTGGTCGGATCCTTGGTGACAACTGGAGTGACATTAGTGCCAGGAGTCGTTGATCCACCAGCACCCGACGTGTTGGTCGGATCCTTGGTGACAACTGGAGTGACGTTTGTTCCAGGAGTCGTTGATCCACCAGCACCCGACGTGTTGGTCGGATCCTTGGTTACGACTGGAGTGACATTAGTGCCAGGAGTCGTTGATCCACCAGCACCCGACGTATTGTTCGGATCCTTGGTGACAACTGGAGTGACATTAGTGCCAGGAGTCGTTGATCCACCAGCACCCGACGTGTTGGTCGGATCCTTGGTGACAACTGGAGTGACATTAGTGCCAGGAGTCGTTGATCCACCAGCGCCCGACGTGTTGGTCGGATCCTTGGTTACGACTGGAGTGACGTTTGTTCCAGGAGTCGTTGATCCACCAGCGCCCGACGTGTTGGTCGGATCCTTGGTGACAACTGGAGTGACGTTTGTTCCAGGAGTCGTTGATCCACCAGCACCCGACGTGTTGGTCGGATCCTTGGTTACGACTGGAGTGACATTAGTGCCAGGAGTCGTTGATCCACCAGCACCCGACGTGTTGGTCGGATCCTTGGTGACAACTGGAGTGACATTAGTGCCAGGAGTCGTTGATCCACCAGCACCCGACGTGTTGGTCGGATCCTTGGTGACAACTGGAGTGACGTTTGTTCCAGGAGTCGTTGATCCACCAGCACCCGACGTGTTGGTCGGATCCTTGGTTACGACTGGAGTGACATTAGTGCCAGGAGTCGTTGATCCACCAGCACCCGACGTATTGTTCGGATCCTTGGTGACAACTGGAGTGACATTAGTGCCAGGAGTCGTTGATCCACCAGCGCCCGACGTGTTGGTCGGATCCTTGGTGACAACTGGAGTGACATTAGTGCCAGGAGTCGTTGATCCACCAGCACCCGACGTGTTGGTCGGATCCTTGGTGACAACTGGAGTGACGTTTGTTCCAGGAGTCGTTGATCCACCAGCACCCGACGTGTTGGTCGGATCCTTGGTTACGACTGGAGTGACATTAGTGCCAGGAGTCGTTGATCCACCAGCACCCGACGTATTGTTCGGATCCTTGGTGACAACTGGAGTGACATTAGTGCCAGGAGTCGTTGATCCACCAGCGCCCGACGTGTTGGTCGGATCCTTGGTTACGACTGGAGTGACGTTTGTTCCAGGAGTCGTTGATCCACCAGCACCCGACGTGTTGGTCGGATCCTTGGTTACGACTGGAGTGACATTAGTGCCAGGAGTCGTTGATCCACCAGCACCCGACGTGTTGGTCGGATCCTTGGTGACAACTGGAGTGACATTAGTGCCAGGAGTCGTTGATCCACCAGCGCCCGACGTGTTGGTCGGATCCTTGGTTACGACTGGAGTGACGTTTGTTCCAGGAGTCGTTGATCCACCAGCACCCGACGTGTTGGTCGGATCCTTGGTTACGACTGGAGTGACATTAGTGCCAGGAGTCGTTGATCCACCAGCACCCGACGTGTTGGTCGGATCCTTGGTGACAACTGGAGTGACATTAGTGCCAGGAGTCGTTGATCCACCAGCGCCCGACGTGTTGGTCGGATCCTTGGTGACAACTGGAGTGACATTAGTGCCAGGAGTCGTTGATCCACCAGCACCCGACGTGTTGGTCGGATCCTTGGTTACGACTGGAGTGACATTAGTGCCAGGAGTCGTTGATCCACCAGCACCCGACGTATTGTTCGGATCCTTGGTGACAACTGGAGTGACATTAGTGCCAGGAGTCGTTGATCCACCAGCGCCCGACGTGTTGGTCGGATCCTTGGTTACGACTGGAGTGACGTTTGTTCCAGGAGTCGTTGATCCACCAGCACCCGACGTGTTGGTCGGATCCTTGGTTACGACTGGAGTGACATTAGTGCCAGGAGTCGTTGATCCACCAGCACCCGACGTGTTGGTCGGATCCTTGGTGACAACTGGAGTGACATTAGTGCCAGGAGTCGTTGATCCACCAGCGCCCGACGTGTTGGTCGGATCCTTGGTTACGACTGGAGTGACGTTTGTTCCAGGAGTCGTTGATCCACCAGCACCCGACGTGTTGGTCGGATCCTTGGTTACGACTGGAGTGACATTAGTGCCAGGAGTCGTTGATCCACCAGCACCCGACGTGTTGGTCGGATCCTTGGTGACAACTGGAGTGACATTAGTGCCAGGAGTCGTTGATCCACCAGCGCCCGACGTGTTGGTCGGATCCTTGGTGACAACTGGAGTGACATTAGTGCCAGGAGTCGTTGATCCACCAGCACCCGACGTGTTGGTCGGATCCTTGGTGACAACTGGAGTGACGTTTGTTCCAGGAGTCGTTGATCCACCAGCACCCGACGTGTTGGTCGGATCCTTGGTTACGACTGGAGTGACATTAGTGCCAGGAGTCGTTGATCCACCAGCACCCGACGTATTGTTCGGATCCTTGGTGACAACTGGAGTGACATTAGTGCCAGGAGTCGTTGATCCACCAGCACCCGACGTGTTGGTCGGATCCTTGGTGACAACTGGAGTGACATTAGTGCCAGGAGTCGTTGATCCACCAGCGCCCGACGTGTTGGTCGGATCCTTGGTGACAACTGGAGTGACGTTTGTTCCAGGAATCGTTGATCCACCAGCGCCCGACGTGTTGGTCGGATCCTTGGTTACGACTGGAGTGACGTTTGTTCCAGGAGTCGTTGATCCACCAGCGCCCGACGTGTTGGTCGGATCCTTGGTGACAACTGGAGTGACATTAGTGCCAGTTTTTGTGTCTCTACTTGTATCTGTGCTTATTACACTATCAATATTCGGACTAGTAGTGGCGCCTGAGTCATTTCCTGAACTTGCAGTATTTCCGCCATTAGATCTTGATGTTGAGCTGGAACCTGAAGTATTACTAACACTTTCACTGCCAGTTGTTGTCGCTGTGGATTTTGTCGTGCTAGTCGTCGCTGATGTGGATGAATTTGATGTTATTTTAGACGTCACAGTTACCACCGACACATCTACTTTAGTTTCCGTCAAAGTCACAATATTACTCGTTGTATCTGTTGTTATGGTATTTGTTGTACTTGAACTTTGTTTTGTTGTTGTGGTCGTGGTCGCGGTCGTATTTGGTTTTGTCGTTGTTGATGATCTAGACGACACCAATATGCCTTGGAAATAATTCGACATAAATGCCGATGCGCTTTCGCCAAAAATGGCCGAGGCCAAGCTACTGATCTGCTGCGCAGGCAGTTCACTTATAGGGGGCAAGGTGTGGAAGGAATTCGTAGACTGTGGAGTTGTCTTTGTCGGCGTGGTAATGGGCTTTCCAAATTCATTAAAGTTGAATTGCGACAGTTGCCAGTTTGACGAGCCAATGTTTTTGCTGCCAATATTAGTCAACTGCACCAAAGTGGATCGAATAGGGTCGGCGGTTTGAGTGGTGAAGTAGGATAGGTGTTGGTTTTGAATTTCGCTCCAAAAGTACCTTGTCTTGTCCATTGCTTCGATGATGCTTGTTTTCAGGGCTTTCATATCCTGCTTGGTTTGCACGTTATTCGGGGTGTATGATTTAGCTGCACGCGTTATTTCCATCAACGTCTGGTCGCCAAGCGTCAGGATGTAGCTAAAGTTTGGCATGGTTCCGGGCTCATTCGGCTTGGGATTCATCCACACGTTGTTTGCCGGTGTATCCCATCCGAGGTCTTTGAGAAACAGCTTCATTTCGATCACGCGCATTTCGGAGATACTGATGAATAGCTCGGTTATTTGGTTTACATGCTTGGCGTCCATAGCAAGGATATTACTTAGGCGCATTAGGAATTTGCCGTTGAGCGTGAGTGGATCGTTGATGTTGCTTGCGCTGACTCCGGATATATGCACTAGTGCACGGTCGCCAATGCCACCTATTATTTTTAGCAGCCGGGCGACTAATTTGGAACTCTCTGGGGTTTTGAGACCTTCGCCGCTGATGCCAAACATTGGTGCCAAAATATCCACGTACAACGGATCAACGCGAGATAGGGTATCCAGTAGTTCGGCAACGTATTTAATGTTGCCGCTGCCAAAGGAAAACAGGCTGCCAAACGGAATCATCAGCATACTTTGGCTCGCCGTGGCACTGCTTGTTCCTGAGCTTGTGGTGGTGGGCATGGCAGCTGGTTTGTTAAATGTGTATCGGTAATCATTTGAGAGCTGGACATGGACTTTGTTGTACAGGTCTTTGACTAATTTTTTAGAGTCTCCGAGATTGTCAATGTCCAGGTCAGATAGTAAGATATTGTCAATGTTAATTAATTTGTTTGGTTCCTCAGAGTCAATAGTGGCAGAGGAGGATATATATGTGGCTATGCGGTTTAATAGATTGAGTGAAATAGCCTTTTGTTGTTCGTTATAGGCGCTGGAAACAAAAACCGCGTCTTTGAGGATGCTGGTTTCAAGGGTATTGTCTGCGACAGCATCCATTTCCGCTGAGGCAAATGTCAGGACTAGCGCACCGAAAAACAATCCAGCCAAATGCATGGTTGAGCGAAATATATATATATATATTATAAATAAATTAAGTGTAAAGTTATTTCTACGTGTAATAAAAATCAATATGAATAATAAAAAATTGAATATGGATTTTTTTAAATTTTTTTCAAGACAAAATGAAACAGATAAATGGTAACAGACATTGTGTGGATTACCATTAAATGTGATTAAATAAGCTGGTTATTCGCAACTGTATTGAATAACTGACTGCGGGAAAATTTAAAATATAGAAAGTGGATTGGACTCGGCTAATTTTTTTTAGGTAAAAAAAATTGATATACGTATTATTATATTATCAAAATTTTAAATCCCAAATTTTTTGTTTTGTAGCAGTATCGATGGGTTATACTCAAGTGTAAGTGGCTACTACAGTCATTAACGTGTTCTTAGTGTATTTCAATGCCCATTTGCATAACAAATAAATCTCAAATGATCATTTATACTTTTTCAATAAAAATAAATGAATAAACTGATGAATATGATAGATAAAGTGTATAAAATAACAAATAACAAATGGTGGCTGTATGCGCCTCTGTCATTCATGACGAAAACTCTAGTACATTAGCCAAAGGAAAAATAAAGTAAAAAGAAAGAAAAACAATCAGTCAGCCTCCCCCCTTCACCTCAAAAATCTACCCAAACTCCCTCCACTATCTCTCTCTTGCATATCAGGAGGAGGGGAGCAATTTGTATTACGAAAATACAATGCAAATATATTATTTCTCATTGACGTGTGTTGCTTTGCAGAGGAGGGTAGGTGATATCGCTCATGAATGCCAAAATCGAGCTCGAATCAGTATCGTCGTTTCTGACAAACACCGAGCTCTGCAAAGCTGACTCTGGCACACTCTGTTGTTGCTGTTGCTGCTGCTGCATTGGCGACCCCGATTTAAAACTAGTCACTGTGCTAACTGAACGCCATGGATCCCAACTGCCACCGGTGGTGGTGCTTGTGGCACCATTAGGCTTGGTCTTATTGTCGGTATTGTCGGTAAGTCCGGCGTTTGTCACACGCCGGAGTCCTGGAATCGACGAATGCATTATTTCAGGCGTTGCTGCTTTGCTATTGCTTGTGCTTGTGCTCGTGCTCGTGCTGGTGATGTTCCCTGACAAGGGCGTTTCGTCCCCTGTTTCGCCAGCCAAACGGAACTGGACAAAGCTCTTCGATGAGCCAAAGCTATCGCTCCTAGGGACATCAGCCCTGTTGACCAAACTGCTGCTGCTGGCAAAAGATGTCGTATATGTCGTGGTCGTGGTAGTCGTAATAGAGCCAGAGACAGCGGGTGTTTGTGACAAGCTAGGGTTAGAGAAGGACACGCGCGGCACGGCAACGCCCTTGGGGCCAGACTTGAGCTGAACACCCCAGGCGGCGGCGCCCGTATTAGGACTAGTGTCGACACCATCGTCGTTATTAACCTGGGGCGACTGAGTGCGCATAAACGACGATGCGGGGGAAAGCACCGGCTTGGATGCCTTGTTGGCAAACGGTGCGGGCGCGGGCGCATCCGGGCGCACACCGGTGAAGGCCTTGCGGAACCCGTCCTCATCCGTGAAGGCGTCCAGGACCTTTGTCGTGTTGGCAGCAAATCTCGAGGGCAAGGACCGGGCGGGCGTGCTCGGCAGGTAGTTGACGACGAGATCAACGGACTTGTCCGTGTCCACGCGCTGCGCCTGGCCGTTGCGAATGGTCGCGGCAACGGCAATTAGCGTGCATTCCTTGGAGGCAAAAAGGGACAAGCGGTGGGTGATCCTGCAGCCCAGCTCCTGGATCTGGGCCAGGGTGGCGGCGCTCGCCGTCGAGTACACCATACGCAGGCGCGGCGGCGACGTTTCCGGGCAGGAGTACACAAAGACGCGGCTCCCGGGCGTCCGCATAATGTAGAAGCGCGGCTCGCTGGGGTTAGGCGAGAACTCCTCGGTGGACGCATACGAGTGGACGTGCGAAATGCACTTGTTGGCCTCAACCTGCAGCTCGACGACGGTTGTGCCGACGTTGGAGCCAAAGTCGCTCAGCGTCGATTTCGCTTCAGGGGACAGTGGCAGGGTCACTGTGTGGAAGCCGCCGGACGCTGCTGCTACGGTTTGCTTCTGGCCGCGGCTGTTCGCGTGATGGTTGTCTGGGCTGACCTCGGGCTTGGATGCCTCAGTGTGGTTGCGCAGCCGGGTGCACATTTGCTCCAGCTGCTCGCTGCGCGCGTCGTCTTCCTGCTGCAAAAGGTCGACGTGCACGAGCTCAGACTTTGACATTGCCGTGCGGGGGTCAATCTTTTTGACAAAGACGCCGCTCTTCTGGCCAAAGGACTGGCTCTGGACCAGCGGCTTGGGAGCGACAACGGGCGGCGGCGCAGCCTTCTGAATGACCGGGCGCTGAGCCTGCTGCTGTTGCTGTTGCTGTTGCTGTTGCTGCTGTTGTTCTGACAAGTTCTCCGCTGAACCTACAGCCAAAACCGAAACGTCTTCCTGCGTTGGCGGCGGCGGTGTGCGCAGGGCGGGCTTAAGGAAAGCCGCCGGCTTGGGCGGAGCGGGCCTCCCCAGGGGAGCGGCCTCCCGCGGTGGCTCGGGCGCCTCGACAGCGTCATTGTCTCTCCCAAACACCTCATCAACGGTCTCAAACTGCAGTGCGTCGGCGACAAAGTCAACGCCAACCGCCTGCTTGAGATTCGACTGCGAGGACGCATAAACCATGCGATTACTGACGCCGACCTTGCCCTCAGGCATCCACGTAATAACGTACCATGAGGAGACACTGGCGCGGAGCAAAAAGAAGGCTGGATCGTTTCCTAGATACTGCTCCAATTGCGAGAGGTCGCCGGTGGAGGGTCCGTTTAGTCTTGCTGTTTCGACAAGGTCTTCGCCGCGGATTTGCACGCGGAGAAGTGCGACTTGTTTGTGCTGGCCCTGCTGCGCCTCCTCCAAGAACTGCTTGAGCTTTGGCGTGGCTACACAAGACAATAAATTGGAAATATTAGCAGAGAAAAAGGTCTAATTTTGGGAAATGAGCAAACCATCTGTTATGTCTGGGTTTTAAAAAAAACATTCTTCTCAGCATCTGTGCTCGAGAGCCCGAGGTTTAGACAATGCACATGGGTTACCTGAAATTCCACTCGTTATAACGGACATTTGCGCTGTGAATTAAGTTGAGAAAAATATATATAGGTAAAAAAAAAAAAAAAAACTACTGAAAAAAACAAGACTTTAATACTGTTGTCCTATGTGACATCAACACAACATTAAAAAAGGGTTAGATAGGGAATGTTTGGCTTTGTCGGCCCTCTTTTTTTTTTACAATCACGGTCTCTCTCACGCGGAGAATGTGACCCAATGGACGGATTTGCACACAAAGACAAGGCGCGATTATCCCGCGCTGACAAGATCAAGCACCGGATTAAATGCACGGTTAATTGGGTGGGAGAAAAGAAAAGAAGTAAAAAGGCTTTTAAGGCTTTTTTACAACCGAAAAAAGAGGGTGAAAATTGGTAGTAAAATCCAAATGTTTGAAGTAGAAAAAAAATTGGGACATGTGAGTTTGGAAAATGGATGAGGAGACGGCTGATGATATCATTCGGGGGGCCTCAATCAATCAACCAAGCAAATAAATGAGAGATGTTTTTCTGAGGAGAATATTCAAGGCGGATTCTAAAATTAGCTTGTGACTTTTCGAACAACGCTAGTAATTATTTTTAGTCTGGCTTTTTTTTGTATGCAAGAAAAACAAAGAAGTGACAGTATAAAAAGTAAACCCCTCTGCTCCATTCTCCA